TATTTAATAATCTTAACAAAAACAAAATATTTTTTAATTTCTGGAGATCATCTCAAAATACTTTCCATTTTTTAAACTTTTTCATTGGTGCATAGAAAAATCATCTGACTATGAAAATAAATAAAATTTCTTTGATAATTTATCTTTCACAAAAAATGCATCAAAATTTCTGAGTATTTTTAGCCAAAACTTCGTGATAAACACATTCAATATTACAAGTAAAATAAATCAAAACTCTTAAATTAGTATACAAATTCAAACTGAAATTCAAATCTACCACGACATTTCCATCCGAGCTCTACTGTACTATCACGTTCTGCGTGGTAACCCTTAACACATTCACAGTGGTAAGAGCGTTCAAAAGGCGTGCAAATCATATTTGGTAATTTGCATAAGTGTCGACCAGTTTCGCATGGATTCTTCAATATTCTTGTTCATGCATTAAAATTGTTGATTGAATTTATCAAATGATTATTTTAGAATACACTCAGAAAATCATAAATACATCTATATTTGAAAAACATTGAGTTGAATAATTTACATATTAAAAATTTGTAAAAATTATTGCAAGTGAAGATAGCATGGAATTAATTAATTTACAATGAAAAAGTAAGTAAGCATATTTTACTTGAAAACAGTTATTGCAAGGTGGTCGTTGCTGTTCTTCAACTTGACCTTGATGCTGCCGTCCTTGTTCGTGACCCCTATTGCCTTCAAGCATTGAGTAAGTATCAGAATTAGCAGAATGTGGTACCGCAGTATCAGCTTCCTTTTTTGTTGCAATATTTGCAGATGCGTAACGAACAATATGTTCTTCGGCATCATAAACAACATGAGGTCGTGTCACTTGGATCACCACTACAGAATCTCTTGTAAACTGCAAATTATTCAATCAGGAAGCTATGAAACTGTAGTTAAGATTGTGCTAACAAAATTAACAAAATCAAGCAAATACTTGAACAAGTTTTAATAATGCTAAGAAATAATTTAACAGATCTTTAACAATCAGTCACATTCAATTGATTTATATATTTTAATTAGAGCTAATGTCTTACACATTTTTACAAGTTTAAATACTTCAGACTATTTTGGCAGTGTACAGATTACTAATAATCATCTAAATTCAACGTATAAAGAATTACGATAACCAAGTCATAATTTTTGCAAAATAAGATCCCACTCTGACCTCTTTAAACGAGCACTCTTTGTAGCTAATCTGTTGATCAATTGAAAGTTTCATTTGTTTTTCTTCACTATTTTCTTTCACTGTTACCAGTTGTGACGAATATGAGCGCAAAAATCCTTTAAAAAAGTCATTATTTTATTTTTCACTTGCAATCACTTATATTCCAGAATTTTTAATCGCAGTATTCCGTTACCTGGTCCTTCGCGACGATATTCTTCTTCATAATCGTCATAACTGACCTCTGACTTATCCGAAATTTTTGGCAACGTTCCTGATATAAACATCTAAATTTCAAATAATTATCTTCAATTCTAAATAGAAGATTACAATTTTTTTCTCCACTGAATCAAACGTGAGTAGGCTTACGTGTGCTTTAAAGTAGTGATAGATATCGCGACCAGAAAACTGCTGCTTAATTGTTACTGCATAACGGTCACCAATTCGCACGTTTACTGTGCGGTTGAATAAACCTCCTATAATTTCACATAGTCACTTTCACACTGAAATTTTTCAAATTCGAAGATCAAAAATACTTTCTGACTACCAGTAAAATACTTTTATGTGCTTGAATTGTTGAAATCAAACAAGAAAGAAATAAAAATAGTTCGAATCAAGCTGATAGCAAACCAGTAAGCATAAATCCATTATATGATGTTGGCGATACCACCTGAAAATTTATTAAATAAAGCATAAATTCGTTACATGATTTCAAATTCTAAGAATCGCACAATTTTAAAAAGTATATTGTAATCATCCATTTTCCAAATCATCTCCATCTTACTAATACTTAATTACGTATAATTTTATATCTGATATTAGTCTTCATAGCATTACCAGTGATAAGCACCATTATTTTGTCTTGATTGCAAAAAATTAATAATAAAATTAATCTAATTCTTTAAATGTTTCTTAATAATGTCATATCTATCACATCTTAAAGTTTTATATCATTTTGGAACACATATTTGTAATTTCTGTGTTTTTTCCAGTTATTTCTAGTATCAGCAAAGTTTGAGGGCATAAAATTGACCATAAACATAATCAGATCATCATTAAAGCTCACTCAGCTACTTTGTAATTCGAGAGTAAATTCGAAAAATTGTTTCCTTCAGAAGTATGTTTGCTTAGAAACAAGAAAGAAATTCAATACTACTTTCAATCTTAAATAACATTTTAAATTTTTGAAAAGGTTAAGTTATAACTGCCAAAGAATACTAAAATATAAATAGCAGAAAAGTCATTTGAATATGCACAAGTTGATGGCTTATTCTGCGCAGAGATAAAAAATGATTGCAACTCACTTTAGCAAACAGCCATCCCATCGCCCCTCCGATAACATTCACCAAAAGCAATGAGGGACCGAGATGTCGCGGAATTTGAGACAGTGCTGTGTAGCTTCGACCTTCCTCCACCATTACGTAAGTGTGAAGTTCTGCGCGTCCAATTTCTTCGCCGTTGACAACACCTTCGAATGCCCCATTGATTCTTTGCGGTTCGCCTTAATCAATCTTGATAACTTCTTACAATCGCATTATTTATAAAATTCAACTTATTATAAGTTATTGATTACTTGTTTTATGCTTCGAAAAATTCTCGCTAACAGCTTTACCGATGTTAAGTGTAAAGGTATAAAGTGTGTAATACCATTATCAGTATTTTTAGTTTTGTCGTATCATACTGTCATTTAGACTTTCTAACTGCATGAATTCAAATAATTGCAATTTATAAAAAATAGTTTGAACGTTTAGCGCGATAATAATTATGATAATGATGATATCAGATTTAATTTTCATGTTAACAATGACACTATCATTAACAGCAATGAAAATGATGATAATGAAAGCATTAAGTGAATAGCAACAAATTTTCAGTTTTATTACGTCAAAAGACAGTCAAAAAATAATGCTGCTTTACCATTCCTCAGACATTCTTCACCATTTCCATAATAACCGGACAAGCACTCGCAACAATACCCCGGGTTGTAATCAATACATCTGGCATGAGAATTACATGGTTGGATCTAAATTTACCATACAAATATTACCCAGTTGATCAGTACTGATGAAAAAAAAATTGATAATTTTTTTGAGATCAAATTATTGTTATTAATATTTGTGATGAGAGGTGGCACAAATAAAACATAAATAATAGCAACTCTAATAACACACATTAACAATGATGTTAAAGGCATTATGAGTAAATTGGTGAAGTAATTTATCAAATAGCAATAATAAATATTTAAATATTTTAAAACTTTAAGTAATTAGAAGTTTAATTTTTTATGAATTCATAAACTTTTAAATTTTATCAACCTTTTCACTTGCAGCTACGCAGCTGAGTGCAATATCTTCAACGTCATGAATCAGTGTGGGATCTCGGGATATGACATCTTCTGACCCTGTAATCTGCTAATCACTTCATTAGATAATGAGGAAGGTTAGAAAAATTTAGGCATGGCAAAGACTAAGATTGGCTAAATATAATTTTTTATGGGTAAATATAATTTCTGTTACTAAAATGTAATCAAAATGTTCAGAAATGGATTCAGTTTTTGATCTATGACAAGATAAGGGGAGGACTGAATATTCATAATTTAATCATTGCACTGATGAATTATGACCTCCTTCTTGAACTACACTCTGTTCTTTCTTTATATCTGCCATATTATCTGCCACATTATCATTTTCTGGTTCTGCGTCAGCTAAAAAATTTCAGAATATTTTTTGATCTAATTAATTCATTAATATTGAGTGAAATAAATCCCTATCTCACTTACTTTCGAACATTCTGCTTTTTGTTGGATATAAATGGAATTCAAAGTAACTACTGTACTGAGTATGACTAAAATACTATGAAAGTATGGAAAGTTAGAAATAATTTTTTTCAGATTCAAAACTTACTGGCAGCTTCTTCACCCGCATCGTTGTTTTGCTCATCTTGACTGGGCACTAGGACTTCTTTATTGCTTCCCTCCAATTCGTTCAATTCTGGTGGCTCTAAAACTTGTAAACTTCATAAATGAAATTGCAATTAATGATAATGTTTATTATGATGATAAAATTTTTCACGTCAAATTAAGTGCTATTATCAATAAAAGTAAGATTATAATATTAATGAAAACGATTTTGATACCAAAGATGCCATTTTTGTGAAGATTATTGAAGAGTCAGTAAGTAATATGATTAAAAATTAGTGCTGCTTCCATTAAGAAAAAAAAATTGTTTAAAGATCAAAGGTCAGACTGTGAAAAATAAATAACAAGGGTGTGGCGAAAAATGTTTTTCATAATTACCTAAAAAATGTAGACACAGTGAAGCTTAGGTTCAAATTAAACGATTAGTGGAATAGCTAACAGCACAAAGGATTTAAAAGCACGAAGGCATGGGGCAAATTAAAGTAATGGACAAAGTAAAGTTTATTTGTAGTAGACGTCATAAGCAAATTCATTTTGTAAGTTAAAATATTTGATTGAATTTTACTAAAATATAAATTTTGAATATCAGAAAAATGAAAATTAAAGGGAAAAAAGGCCAGACGTGTACAAACACAAAGTGAACATCCACGATCGTCTGTGAGTACTTGACATTCTGATGGACATTGGTCACGGTAAGGGTCAGGTGGGCATTCCTCTGATGATGACATCTCTAAAAATTAATTTCTGCAAAAAAATCCTTCTTTTTATTTCTACATTGTTTCGTTTAAAAAAATTTATTCCAAAAGCGTCTGAGTTCTCTGAACAGCCATAGTTTGCGCATATTTCATCTTCTAATGCCGTTAAGATTCAAATTGAACAGCTGTGAGTGTTTTCTGCTTTGTTATGCATTAAATTAACTTTAATTTGAATAGATCTGCTAGATAAGAAAGCTATTACCCGAGGCACATTAACTTTTAATTTAAATGGGCAATAATTGCACAAATGTAGAATTTTGCTTCTAATATTAATGGGCAAATGTAGAAATGCAAATCAGAACGTCAGAATCAATTATCACTAACTACTCTGTTGTTTATTTTCTTCATTGTCAGGATCATATTCGGGTTCATAGTCATTATAACTATAATCATCTTCAGAAATTGCACCGCGTGGATCTTCAGGTGAACTTCCTGAGATTCGAAAGATATAAGTGCCTTCATTTTGGTTATTTGACAAGCTGAAAACTTTTTATCATGAAATCATATTTTTATTTTTAAAATTGTTTGATTCAAAGTGTGGTCATATTTTACTTCTAAAAAAATACAAAAATTCGAAAAAATGTTTGTAATTTTTTAAAAACGTTCTCATATATTTAATTCAAAAATGTTATAGCAGAAGTACTACTTGAGGTATATACATTTTTAATTTGAAAATTAATTAAAAGATTGAAATTTGGATCAGTACGTACTTAACAAGCTCCTTGATGCTAACCGTTCCACTGTTAACCATAGTTTCGCGTCGTCCATCGGAAAAATACAAACCTGCTTGAGCTTGTTGACCACCTTCTCCAGTCCAATCAAGCTGATTATAAATCAAAAATGCATATGAACTGATTCCATCCGTCACTAAAACCATCTGAAAATATGCAAAAAACCAAGCAAACAGAATAACACTCAAGTAATAACATTCACCACCGTTAATAGCAACAATTTATATTGGTTCAAGTTTAAAATAATTTTTGACTCCAAAACTTTTTCAATTATTATAAAACGCTTTTGCATCACTTTGAAGTATTTTCATTTCGTGAAATTGACTGCAATTAAAAGTTAATTTGAAAGCTTACTTGAAACTGATTTGAACTTTCTGCAGAATCTTTGCCAACCATATCATTCCACGTGATTACAACAGCGTGCAAAGCTGTGAATTCCGATGATTCACGATTTGGAAAGTTCTTTCGAATTTTACTCGATAAATCTCTTAGCAAAGTTTCATCACTTGAAGTCGCTCTAATTTTTGAAATTAAAAATATTCAAATATTTGTATAGAATCGAGAATTAAGAAAAAAAATAAAGCTGATTTCCAGAATATCTGAAAAACAATTTTATAGTTCTGATATTAATAACCAATAAAATCTATAAAATTTTATTACCTATAAAATATTTTGCCACTTTCCGTCGGAACAAAGAATATAGCTACAGCACTGATTTTTTCATCATCCAAATTAGTGATTCTACTCATATCCACGGATTTACCAAATGTTACAGCACCACTGGATGAGATGAATAGCTCATTTTGGCTTTCTTCAAAATATATTATGGGTACATCCAAAGTAATACCATAATCATCCTTCGAGAATGGTAATTCCTTAATTTATATTTATAACTATTAAAAAGGTAAAAGAAACTTCTTTATACAAATATAGTCTGCAGTATGAATTCAAACATTATCAAAAACGTTAATAACATTCATCTATGATTTGAAATCTCTGATCAATTTAAACAAATCAATGACAAGTACCAGTTAAAAGATATGCAAAAAATTAGATTTATGGTTACAATAAAAATTTACGAAAAAATGTGACTCGAAATTTTAAGCACAGATAATTAATTTTAATTCCTATAATGGTATCAAAAATTATATTACAAAACTTTGATCAAAATCAATTTAAAAAATGGTATTAAAATGCTAGTCGCATACCTGATCACCTTTATCAATGCCAAAATCATACAAATCTGCCCCAAGACAAATTGTCTTTAAAAATGTTATACAATATAGCAAAAGTAATAAAAACATTTTGCTACAAAATGATTTTACAACAATTTTCGTTCAACGCATAACCGAAACATTAAATTGCCTGAAATTGAAAAATTGTTTTACATTCACGTAAGATTCAATAATTTTAGTTTAATACAAAAATATCAACTTTGATTGTTTTTAATGAAAATAGCAAAATTTTCAGAAAACGAAAAATAAGAAACTGCAAAGAATAAATGATAACTGCGAGATTCAGTTTACTTTAGTTTGTCTTAACTCAATCAAAGCTTTTATGCGTGGTACTTTCAATAGATTCGAGCGATATTCAAAAAGTGAAAATTCAATGGAAGAACCAGAAATTAACAACCGAAGCATTAAAAAAATCATAAAATAAAAATTTTAATTAGTAAAAGCTGTTTTTTTGTACTACCACAACAGACTACTTTTGATTAATAGTAAAAAATGGATGATTATAAGAGATAATTGGCGGTTAAGTGGTCAATTCCAAAATACCGAATGAATAAGTTCAAAATAAGAACGATGTAATCTGTGGAGTACCAGAAGTAACCAGTTATGAATTAAATAATTATTAATAAATATTGTGAAGTCGAACAAATCAGTAGGATGATATGACTTCTTTGCTTTTGGGAAGAAAATAGTAACAAGTCAGAAAGCAAAGTTTTTTTAGAGCAATTTAGTAAAATTTTATAAAATTTTTGGGAATAAAACTATTTAAAAGTGAGCAAAATTAAGAAATTAATATTAAATTAAATTAATATTGAATTCAATTAATATTAAATTCAATTAAAATACAAATGTTTGAATTTTACTAAGACAAAAAGTCAAAAGTGAGAAAAATTTTCAAATTTTGAAGAGCTGTTAAGTACAATAAACTAGACATAAATTTATATTACATTTCAGAGTTTAGTATAATTTTACTGAGTTTCATAGAATTTTTTTTCCAATTCTGTCACACAATAGGTAAAAGTGATTATTTATGCAAATTTTATGCAAAAATCATTTTAAATTTTTAGAAATTTACTAATGCAAATACTTTTTTTCCAGAAAATATGAATTTTCACCTTTTACACAATTTTCGCTATTTTACATTTTGTATTTTCTAAAATGATAATTATTGTTGAATAAAACTAGTTCCCAAGTTATTTTCCGCATGTAAAAGTTAGAAAATAAGTGAATTAAGATTAAAAAGTTATAGATAATTGTAATTTAAAATGTAACTGCATATCGAATTAATTATTTATGTAAAAATATGTCAAATATAAAAAATTTGTTACATATACAAGACAGTCATTTTTTAGGACAACTTTTTAATTAAAAATTTTTAAAAAATTTTTGAATTTATTACTCAAAAATGAATTACTCAATTAATGGTTTGGTTGAATTTTCATTCCTCAAAATTATTACTTGAAAATTAAGCCTCATCAAATATGTTTTAGCAATCGGCTATTGTAGTACTGCGAGATTT